TTAGGTTACATATGTCCGACTTTACTACTTCCCTTAGTGGTTTAAACTTATTTTTGGGGTGTTTTGGAGTTCCTAAACGGGCTTTTATCTTTTTAAAACTTAGTTTTGAGGACCTAACTAAATCGTATTTTTGTTTGAAGGTCTTAGGAAGGATTTGATCAAGGCGTAGATTAGTTTTTAATTTTTCAAGGCGTAGATTTTTTAAGAATTTTTTCAATGCGTAGATTTTTTTAGAATTTTTGTCAAGGCGTACATTTTTTTAGAAATTTTTCAAGACGTAGATTTTTCTTAGAATTTTTTCAAGGCATAAATTTTTTTACAAATTTTTCAAGGCGTAGATTTTTTGTAGAATTTTTTTTTAAAGCGAAATTTTTTTTAATTTTTTCAATGTTTGGATTTCATAAAAAATCATTTTTAAGCTATTCCTGCCTCGATATTTTTAAATTTACCTTTTGAGCTACTCTGGGCTGCAATTTTTAAAAATATTTTCTAGCTGGGGATTTGAAAAAAGGAAAAAGGCTATTGTTTGAAGGCGATTTCAACTTTTTTTGAGTGGCTACATTGGCCTATTTTAAAGTAGTTTAAAATTACTTATCAGAGCATAGCATTCTTCAAAAAAAAAAATATACATTTTTGCATTAAAAACACTATTTTCAAAACGCAAAACAAAATCTTTTTAATTTTTTTTTTCAATTATTTTGAACTAGATTTTTTATTTCTTGTTCATTTAAAAAATCCTTCCGTTTTTCGTATCATTTTTTCACAGTTAATTATAATAAAACTAAACCAAAAATTCTCCCCATTCTCTCCACATGTGAAGAGTAGCAGGAATTTAATTTCAATTCCAATTCCAAACATTTTTACATCAAGCAAGAAAACAACAACAAAAGCAACAAATATTTTTATTCGGATTTTTCTTTACTGGGATTTCATTTTAATAGCGTTTTTTTCTCTTGATGCCAAAGGGTGTGGGGAGTGGGAAAAACAACCTTCAGATTTGTTGTTTTCATGTGGTTTTTCACATCAGCATCAGTTAACTGAAATCAACTCAAGCCAAAAACTTACATATACACAATGACACACACACACAAACGCTCACATACACAGGAAGAAATTCCAAAGTTTATTATGTGCAAAAAATGTACTAAGTTTATGTAATACATGGTGTTGGTGGTAGTTGTGTTGGTGGTTGTGCTACTGCTGGTAATGTATATGCTGGTTGTCACTATCTGTGTGTATATATGTGTGAGTGTGTGGAACTTACCACCAGCATTGCTGTTATCATCAACAACAGTGTCCTTGCATGGCAGCTTTAATGGTTGTTCTGCCATGATTTAATTTTTTTGTGCAAAATACCAAAGCGGTAGAGGTCACTTAAATGTATACTCCCCTGTTCCTCTCTCTCTTCAATCCCCTCATTGGCTGTTGTGTTGTTGTCTGTCCATCTTCTTCATGTTTTTCAAACTGGACAGCAAAAAACATTTCCAAAACCAAAAATGCGAAACATAACAAAATCTCATTTTAATTTTACTTTTCATCCCATTAAACATTTCATTTGTGGTTTGCCATTCTCGCCCCGCTCTCTATCCCCGATTCTACCGATGTTTAGTTTCACTTCATACATATGTGTATTGATGTTGTTGTTGGTAGTTGTTTTTGGCATTTCAATCCTTTTTGCATTATTTGGGGAAAAGTTTCAGGGTTTTTTTTTTTGTTTTGGCAAATTGTTAAAAGACCCCAAGCTCAGGGTTAATTCAATGGAATTCCCGCCCATATAATATTCGGGCCAAGGGTGAATATGTGTTAATTGTTATTGTGGACAAGAAGTTACATGTTATTGTTTTTCTTTGGTCAGCAACAATTAGAGCTTGAGTTTTCACAATTGCAGTAAGAGCGAGAAAAATAACAATTTTGTAACCGAAACTAAAAACTAGTTATTGACATATTTTTTAAATATACACCTTGGTAATTCGAAAAAAAACCTTCAAAAAATATATTTCTTTTTAATCGACATCTTGGTAATTCGAAAAATATTGTTTAAATTTTAATTCTGACATATATTCCGAATATTACCAATAGTCAGTACAGCCCTTCTAATTACTTGTCCATATTCCCTTCACCATGGGTTGTGTTGTGATGTTCGGTTTATAATTGTAGCCTATCGATCGAATCAAAAAAAAAAAAAACAAGTTTCATAAGCTCTTTCAAAGAAGAAAGAATACCTGCAGATCTTCCATAGAAAGAGGGATAGCTGCAGATCTTCCAAAGAAAGAAGAATATCAGCAGTTCTTCCACAGGAAGAAGACTCCTCCAGCCTTTCCTCAGGAAGAAGAATTTCTGTATCTCTTCCACAGGAATAAGAGTACCTGCAGCTCTTCAACAGTAAGAAGAATACCTACAGTTCTCTTCTAGGACGGATGAAGAATACCTCCAGGTCTGCTTTTGGAAGATGGATACCAGCAGCTCTTCCACAGGAAGACGAATACCTGCAGCTGTTTCAAAGGAAGAAGAATTCTTGCAGCTCTGCTATAGGAGGAAGAATACCTCCAGCTCTTCCATAGGAAGAAGAATACTTTGGACTCTTTCAAAGAAAACAGAATATCTGCAGCTCTTTCAAAGGAAGAATAATACCTTCAACTCTTCCACAGGAAGAGGAATACCTACAGCTATAGGAAGATAATACCTCCAAATTTCCTATAGGAAGAAAATTACATGCAGCTCTTTCAAAGGACGAAGAATAGCTGCAGATCTTCCAAAGAAAGAAGAATAGCAGCAGTTCTTCCACAGAAAGAAGACCCCTGCAGCTCTCCCACAGGAAGAAGACTCCTGCAGCCTTCCCACAGGAAGAAGAATGTCTGCATCTCTTTCAAAGGAAGAATGCAGCTCTTCCACAGAAATAATAAAATCTGCAGCTCTTCCACAGGAATAAGAATACCTGCAGTTTTTCAACAGTAAGAAGAATACCTACAGTTCTTCTCTTGCACAGAAGAATACCTACAGCTGTTCCAAAGGAAGAAGAATACCTACAGCCCTGCTATAGGAGGAAGAATACCTCCAGCTCTCCCATAGGAAGAAGAATACTTTGGGCTCTTTCAAAGAAAACAGAATATCTGCAGCTCTTTCAAAGGAAGAATAATACCTTCAACTCTTCCACAGGAAGATGAATACCCAGAGTTTTCCTATAGGAAGAGAAATACCTCTAAATTTCCTATAGGAATAAAGTTACATGCAGCTCTTCTATGGGAAGATCAATACCTACAGTTCTTCCATAGGAAGAAGAATAGCTTCAGCTCTTCCACAGGAAACTGAATATCTGCAGCTGTTTTAAAGGAAGAATAATACTTTTTCTGCTCTTTTAATGGATCATCAGAAGAATACCTGCAGCCCTCCTAAAGGAAGAAGAGTACCTCCAGCTCTTCCACAGGAAGATGAATCCCTGCAGCTCTTTCAAAGAAGGAATAATTCCTGCAGCTCTTCCATAGGAAGAAGAATACCAGCAGTTCTTCCGCAGGAATAAGACTCCCAGAGCTCTTTCATAGGAAGAAGAATACCTGCAGCTCTTCCACAGGAAAAGGAATGCCTGCAACTATTCCATAGGAAAAGGAATTCCTGGTGCTCTTTCAAAGGAAAAATAATACCTGCAGGTCTTTCACAGTTAGAGAAATATTATAAATAATTCCACAGCGGCCTCTGGAGCGACCAGAAAAACCGACAAAAATTAAGTATTTGGTTCATTTCATCCCCTAAATATTAACCGATCTTTACCAAACTCTTGGGGCTATACAAAGCTATAATACCCTGACAACATAGTTGTGTAGGGTATAAAAACCTACGTGCTACGTGTGCTGAGTTTCGTAAAAAGCGGTTCAGATTTAGATAGAGCTCCCATATATAGTTTCGCCCGATTTTAGGTAAATGGTGTACCAAAGTCCTTATATATCTTTCGATTTGCACGAAATTTGGGACAGCGTACTGAATTAAGCCTAGAACGATGTGTGCTAAGTTTTGTAAAAATCGTTTCAGATTTTGATATAGCTCCCATATATATTTTCGCCCGATTTAAGGTAAATGGTGTACCAAAGTACCTATATATATTTTGATTTGCACGAAATTTGGCACAACGTATTGAATTAAGCCTAGAATAATGTGTGCGAAGTTTCGTAAAAATCGGTTCACATTTAGATATAGCTACCATATATAGTTTCGCCCGATTTAAGATAAATAGTGTACCAAAGTCCCTAAATATCTTTCGATTTGTACGAAATTTGTCATAGCGTCCTGGATTAAGTCTAGAATGATGTGTGTTAAATTTCATGAAAATCGGTTCAGATTTAGATATAGCTCCCATATATAGTTTCGCCCGATTTTAAGTAAATAGTTCACTAAAGCCCCTGGAAATCTTTTCATTTGCACGAATTTTGTCATAGCGTACTGAATTAAGTCTAGAACTTAGATATAGCTCCCATATATATATTTTCGTCCGATTTTATGTAATTGGAGCAGCAGAGTCCCTATATATTTTCGATTTGCACGAATTTTGGTATAGGGTACTAAATTAAGTCTAGAATTATGTTGCTAAGTTTCGTGAAAAGATCCACAGCAAGCCCGATTGACACAACATACTGAAGTAATATAAATTAGTCTCTGGCAAGTTTCCCTGAAATCGGTTCAGATATCGATATATAACTAAAACGCGACGTCTGTTAGGATACATATGTAGAATATACCCAAAGTGGTGAAGGGGATCATATAGTCTTACTGGTTTTAATCTACGCCTTGGCTAGACCTTCCAAAAAAATTTTTTAAGACTCTACGCCTAAAATTTTTTTTTCATATCTACGCCTTGATGAGGTCTTAAAAATATATGTTTTTAAAAAAGTTGCCCTTCGATAAATATTCGAAATTCCGATTTTGTTTAATTTGTGAAAAATATTACTTTTATGGAGCACTTTAAGCCCCCACTTTATTTCCCATATAAATCTCTTTAAAAGGCAACTTACCGTCATATATTCATCTAAACGATGTTTCCAATTGTCAGATTTATCAATGAGATTATTCCATTGTTCTGAGAGTTTAGCAACTTCACGTCGAATGCTGCGTGTCAGTTCACGGCTTTGTTCTTCGGCAGTTAAATAACGAGAATCCGTATCATGGGCTGCTGGAAGAAAGTAAGAAAAAACCAACAACAAAATGAAATAAAATCCAGTAGAAATGTAACGAAGTAAGAAGTAAGGAAGAAGTGTATCAAAAAAAAAGAATCGAATTCGAACACAAATAGATACAAATGACTTGATGGTATTTCAGATAATAATAAAAAAACGAGGAGAATGAATGCAAAATAGCAAAAAGAACAATTTTTTTTTGCATTTCCGGTAGATAACAATTTACTCCATGAAATAATGCTGAGCTTGTAGTACCACATCGGAGTAGCAGTAGCAGCAGATGAGAGAGTATTTAGCTATCTACTATCTGCCACCATCATTCCTTATGTCAGTTTGGTGACACATTTTATTTTTAGACATTGAACGTTTAATGGCAATAGGACGATACGATAGCGACTCGACACGACACCAAAGTGATAAATAATAAATTAAAGACGTGCCATGTTGAATGGAAATGGGGGAAAAATCTGATGGGATTGGGTGAATGGAAGGCAGACACGGGGAGGGAGGGAGGGCTGCAGAGTATACAGATTTCCAAACGAAGTCTCGACGCTGCAAATGACATTATTAAATTTTAAATAAAGTCATGATGGCGAAAAATCACTATGGGATAATACGATTTTTATTAATTGTTTTGTGGGGAGGAAGAGAGAGAAACAAACGAAATATTGAAAAATTAAAGGGGAATTGAAGAGAAAATTTTCAAAAGGTGGATTATTAAAGCAAAAAAATCTTGGCTTTAAAAAATACGCTCTGGTAAACAAAATATTCTTAAACAAATTAAGGCTTAGTTAGTTTGAAAAGAGGGGTGGTTTACACCAACACATGTCCATTGTGGGACATGCACTTAAGCCATAGGAGGCCTGTTGTGCGCTCTAGGAAGGAAAGGTATTTAGATTGAATTATTCTTAATTTTTTTTTTTGTCTACCTATTCTTCTAGGTATTCTGTGTTCTTGCTGAAGTCCTTTAGTATTTTCCATTCACACCCACTTAGATCATTTAGTTCAGGCATAGTGTCGATTTTCAAGAATTGGGTTTGGATGCATGCAAAAGCTGGGCAGTGGCATAGGAAATTTTCCAACGTTTCGTTGTTTTGCCCACACACTCTGCACCTGCTGCTTCCCGAACACCCAATCTTGTGTAAATGTGACTGCAGGTTAAGATGTCCTGTCTGCTTAGTTCTTTCTTTTTTAGCGCATTTGCTTGGTCTTATCCTGATGTGCGTGTCCCCATAAGATTTTTGTGTTTTTTTTTCAATCCTCTCGTTATTCCAGAGTGTTTTGTGCGCCTCTTTCGCCCATGACCTCATTTCTAGACGTGAAGCGTTAAAAGGTTTTGCACTGTTCACATCTATGTTGATTAGGTTAGTAGCACGTCTGGCGAGTTGGTTGGCTATCTCGTTTCCTATGACTCCTGAGTGACCCGGTACCCATACTATACGTACAAGTCCGTGTCCTGAGAAATTGTTTATTGTTTTTATGCATTCCAATACAGTTTTTGATGTAACTATCTATCTGTCATGATATTTATGTTATTATGCCCAGAGTTAGAGCTTAACCATCTTATACACTCCGTTATAGCTTGAACCTTCGCCTGTAGGATCGTATTGTGATCTGGCAGGCGAAGTGAGATTTCAGTCCCTGGTTCTTCAATAAAAAGTTCCAGTTCCGTATTTCCCGGTAGCCTGGAGCCATCCGTGTAACAATGTCCCCGGTTCTTCAATAAAAAGTCCCAGTCCCGTCTTTCCCGCTAGCCGGGAGCCATCCGTGTAACAACAGTTCCCCGTAGGCATATGTGCTAGTGTTCCGCTGTTTCATGAGTCTCTGTCCGATATCAGGATTTCACACAATGTGATTACTCTTGTTTCAGGTATTCGATCTGATTCAAAGTGGCTAATTGAGTATCCGATCGTAGCCTGTAGTATATTTTCGTGCGGTGTGTTGTGTCCGCAGTCGATGCACTCGTTCATGGCATTAAGTCTTAAAGCTGCGATGGCCGCTTCGTATTTTATTTGGATGCCAGCTGGGTTGTATATACAATATAGTTTCCAAAGCCCTGGTTTATGTTGTCCGCATTTCCCCGCATATGCCTAGACAACAAGTTCTTTGGACTTTCTGTAGTGCTATTACATTACATTTTTTGTCCATTGCTGTCCACCAGACTACAGACGCGTAAGTTAGAATTGGCCTAATAACGATCTTGTAGAGCGAGTGTACCATCTTTGGGTTGAAACCCCATTTAGACCCCACGGCCCTTCTACTGAAAGACCAGCATCTATGGGCATTTTCGACCCGTTAATGTATGTGGTCTATCCATCTAAGTTTTCTATCTAGGATGACACCCAGATATGGGTCTTTTCGACCCGTTGATGTATGTGGTCTTTCCATCTATGTTTTCTATCTAGGATGACACCCAGATATTTGACTTTATTTTCATTCCATATTTCCGTTTTGTCCGGATTTACGTTTAGACCCCTCGGCTTCGCCCAATTAAAAGCTATTTTTAACGCCGTTTCAGCCTTTCTGCATAGTAAGTTAGGGTTCTTTCCCCTTAGAAGTATTATAACGTCGTCTGCATAATAGACTGGTTAAAAACCATCCTCGGTTAAGGTCCTTAAGAGACTACTGATAGTGGTGAAAGTATCTCTCCCTGCGGGGTCCCTTGTCCTACTTTCTCCCTGATATTTATGTCTTGTAGGCTACAGTTTATCAATCTATTCCTTAGCATATGGTTGACCTTCTAAAGCTTCTAAGGATTGGATAAGTGTTTCGGTGATGACATTATTAAAGGCTCCTTCGATGTCAATGCTGACTGCTAAAGTGTACATTTTCATATCGAAAGTTCCTTCGATGTGGTGTACTACCTCATGTAAAGCGGTTTACAAATCCAGACTTATGTAGGCCCTGAAAAAAATGCTTTAAACAAATCTAGGCCTTGATGAAATATTCTTTAAGAAAATATTGTAGCAGTTAAAAGATCCAAGGCTTGTTGTATTGGAAAAATAACCTTCAAAAAATGCACGACCTGTATCAGGCATTCAAAAGGATTTTTAGAATATGCACACACTGCATCTGGCCCTGAAAAACAAACTTTTAAAAATCCACGCCTTATTGGGCTTATAAAAATATGTTTTTAGAATATCCACGCACTGCATCAGCCCTTGAAAAAATAAATATAAAGAATACACGCCCTGTGTGGAAAAAAATTAAGGATCCACGCCTTATTGGGCTTCTATAAATATTAAAAAATCACGCCAGCGTAAGGCTTTGAACATTTTATTTAATCCAATTCACGTCCTGCGTCAGACCTTGAAAAATATTTAAAAAAAACACGCCCTGCGTCAGACCTTGAAAAATAGTTAAAAAAACACGCCCTGAGCCAGGCTTGAAAAATATATTTAAAATGTATATGGGAGCTATATCTAAATCTGAACCGATTTTCAGGAAACTTAACACACATCATTCTATACCTAATTCATTACGCTATGCCAAATTTCGTGCAAATCGAAAAATATATAGGGACCTTGGTACACCATTTACCTTAAATCGGACGAAGATATATATGGGAGCTATATCTAAATCTGAACCGATTTTCAGGAAACTTAACACACATTATTCTAGACCCTATTCATTACGCTGTGTCAAGTTTCGTGCAAATCGAAAGATATATAGGGACTTGGGTACATCATTTACCTTAAATCGGACGAAAATATATATGGGAGCTATATCTAAATTTGAACCGATTTTTCCCAATTTCAATAGGGTTCGTCCTTGGGCCAAGTAAGTGACCTGTGCCAAATTTCATCCAAATCGGATCATAAATCGACTCAGAAAGTGATTCTATGCATATTCTGAAAAGGAACCATGTGTCTATCTCGATTCCTTTTGCCTGTTACAAACATATGCACAAAGACATAATACCCTATACCACTGTGTGATGAAGGGTATACAAAACTTTTAAAACTCCACGCCTTATTGGGTTTATAAAAATATATTTTTGGAATATCCTGCAGCCCTTGAACTGCATCAGCCCTTGAACAAATAAATATAAATATAAAGAATACACGCCCTGCGTGGAAAAAATTAAGGATCCACGCCTTATTTTTAAATAACCCACGCCTAGTTATTGCCTTGAAAAACTATTTTTAAAAATCCCCACCTTATTTGCGGCTTGAAAAATTCATCTTAAAAAAATCCACGCATTATTTGTGGCTTGAAAATTTCATCTTTAAAAAATCTCGGCAATAAAAAAATCAATGTTTTCTCGGGAACATTTAAAACATTTCTTTACCAAATAAGTATTTTGTCCAATAAACAAATTTGATGCTTTTAGCATTGTGACAAAAACTTGGCTAACCGAGTCTTCTTCTTCTTTTGTTTTGTGGCCTCCCCCACTTTCCCTCTCTATCTTTTTGCGATATGCAAAACTTAAATAATCAATTTGATTGCAGTTTTTCTTATCTCAGCTCTTGCAGCCGGAAATAAGGAAGAGCAAACTTTCCATTTTCTTCAATATGCAGTTTTGTACTTTGGGAAATTCGTCATCACAATGGGCGGGTAGGGATGTCAACATAGATAAATATTGGAAAAAATTGGACAATTGTAAAAAAAAGAAACTGAAAAGAGCTGAAAAAAGAAGAAACAAAAAACTGGAAAAAACTCAAAAGTTGAAGAGAGGAAATATTAGAAGCAAACCCCCGAAAAATATTAGCATTGCTAAAGGTAACTTCGGTTTACTTCAAAATTTTAAAATCAAAATTTTCCATATCCTGATTTTTTTGATTTTTTGGCATCGTCACTCCTACCAATGTGTGTGTGAGGCCTCCATTATCATCAATGGTTTTAAGAAGAAGAAATGCTATCTCTTTTTTTATGAAAAAAAGTTTTAGTTTTTTGTTGAATTATTTCCTATCATTGATTCTCTTCAGAGTTTTTTTTTGCCAAGATTTTAGTTTTTATGTTTCCGTCACATCTGCCTTAAACCGGGCTGCTGATAAAATTGATTTTTATAGTAGCAGCAGTGTTTATTGTTGTTGTTCTTGTTGCTACTGTTGCATATATTTGTTACTACTGTTAGCCATTTCGTTTTTTATTCTTGTTTTTACCTTTTAATGTCAAAAGAAAATTAAAATAAACTATATTTTGAAAAAAAGAAAGTATTGCCAAATTACGAATTAGAGCGTAAAACTTTCGAAAAATAAGAACAACTTAATTTAGTTTCATGTTGGGATATTGGAGAAAACTGAGAATAAAAACCAACAACAAAAACCTGAAAAGGAAGTAACAACAAAGAACAAGAGCTATTCATTTTACTGTCTCAGATGACTTTAGAGTCTGAGGTATTGGTTGAATGAAATTAGATAAACAGGATGAGATTGGGGTTTTTAGAAACGAAACTTAAAAAAAAAAACTTAAGGGCACTCATAATAACTTGAATATTTTTAGAGCCCTATAAGGCGAGTATTTTTTAAAGACTATTATTTCCAGGACTATAAAAGACGTGGATTTTTTAAAGAATATTTTTCTAGGTCTTATAATGCGTAGATTTTTTAAAGAACAATTTTTCCAGGACTATAGTCGTAAAGAATATTTTTCCCAGGACTATAAGAAGCGTGGATTTTTTAAAGAAGAATTTTTCTAGGACCATAAAGGGCGTGGATTTTTTAAAGACCATAAAAGGCACATATTTTAAAGAATAATTGGATTTATTAATAAATATTTTTCCTGGTCTGGCGTGGATTTTTAAAGAATGCTTTTTCCAGGATATAAAAAGCGTGGGTTATTAAAAAATATAAAAGGCGTGGATAATAATTTTCCCAGGACTATAAAAGGCGTAGATTTTGCAAGAATCATTTTTCCAGGACTATAAAAGGCTGAGATTTTGCAAGAATATTTTTTCCAGGACTATAAAGGGCGTACATTTTGCAAGAATAATTTTTCCAGGACTATAAAAGGCGGAGATTTTGCAATAATAATTTTTCCAGGACTATAAAAGGCGTGTATTTGTTAAAGAAGAAGAGGACCATAAAAGGCATAGATTTTAAAGAATAATTGGATTTATTAATAAATATTTTTCCTGGCCTGGCGAGGATTTTTAAAGAATGCTTTTTCCAGGATATAAAAGGCGTGGGTTATTAAAAAAATTTTTTTCCAGGAATATAAAAGGCGTGGATTTTAAAAGAAAAAAATTTCCAGGGCTATAAAAGGCGTCGATTTTTTAAATAATCATTTTTCCAGGACTATAAAAGGCGTAGATTTGTATTATTTATTAAAGAATAATTTTTCCAGGACTATAAAAGGCGTGGATTTTTAAACAATAATTTTTCCAGGACTATAAAAGGCGTAGATTTTGCAAGAATGATTTCTCCAGGACTATAAAAGGCGTCGATTTTTAAAGAATATTTTTTCCAGGACTATAAAAGGCGTAGTTTTTGCATGAATAATTTTTGCAGGACTATAAAAGGCGGAGATTTTGCAAGAATAATTTTTCCAGGACTATAAAAGGCGGAGATTTTGCAAGAATAATTTTTCCAGGACTATAAAAGGCGGAGATTTTGCAAGAATAATTTTTCCAGGACCATGTTAAACATATTTTTCAAGGCCCAAATAAGGCGTGGATTTGTTAAAAAATGTTTTTTTTTTCAAGGGTTACAACGAGGCATGGAGTTTTTAAAGGAGTAAAAAAGGAGTTTTTAAAGAAGGAGTACAAAAAGGCGTGGATTTTTAAGGAATATTATTTTTAAGAGATACGAGAAGTCGTGGATTTTTAAGGAATATTTTTCCGAGGCCCAATAAGGCGTGGATTTTTTAAAGATTAATTTTTTAAGGCTGCGACAAGGCGTACATTTTTAATGATTAATTTTTTCAAGCCCCAAATAAGATGTGGATTTTTAGATATACATTTTTCAATCCCCAAACAAGGCGTGGATTTTTAGAGATAAATTTTTCAATCCCTAAACAAGGCGGGGATTTTTAGAGATACATTTTTCAATCCCTAAACAAGGCTTGGATTTTTAGTGATACATTTTTCAATCCCTAAACAAGGTTTGGATTTTTAAAGAATATCTTTTTAGGGGTTAAATTTTTGCCACGCCTCCTAGAGCCTCGATTTATTGAAGAATATTTTTGACAGGTCTTCTAGAGCCTCGATTTATTGAAGAACATTTTTTTCCAGGCCTTCTAAAGCCTGGATATATTGAAGAATATTTTGTCATGCCTTCTAGAGCCTCGATTTATTGAAGAATATGTTTTCCAGGCGTTCTAGAGTCTCGATTAATTGAAAAATATTTTTGCCAGGCCTACTAAAGCCTCGATTAATTGAAGAATATTTTTTCCTGGCCTTCTGGAGCCTCGATTAATTGAAGAATTTTTTTCAGGCCTCGATTAATTGAGGAATAATTTTTCCTGTCATATAGGGCTTCGATTAATTGAAGAATAATTTTTCCAGGCCTTCTGGAGCCCCGCTTTATTGAGGTCGCATTTGTGATCCGATTTGGATGAAATTTGGCACAGTTCACTTATTTGGCCCAAGGACGAACCCTATTGAAATTGATATATAGATATAGCTCCCATATATATTTTCGTCCGATTTTAGGTTTATAGTGCACCGAAGTCCCTATATATCCTTCGATTTGCACAAAATTTGGCATAGCGTACTGAATTAAGTCTAAAATGATGTGTGTAAAATTTCGTGCAAATCGGTTCAGATTTAAATATAGCTCCCATATATATTTTCGTCCGATTTTAGGTAAATAGTGCACCAAAGTCCCTATATATCCTTCGATTTGCACGAAATTTGGGATAGCGTACTGAATTGTGTCTGGAACGATGTGTGTTAAATTTCGTGAAAATCGGTTCAGGTTTAGATATAGCTCCCATATATATTTTCGTCCGATTTTATGTAAACGGTGCAACAATGTCCCTATATATCCTTCGATTTGCACGAAATTTCGCATAGCGTACTGAACTAAGTCTATGAACGAATACTGAAATAAGTTTAACCTAACATGTGACAAGTTTCGATGAAATCGGTTTAGATTTCGATATTTTGCTTTAAATTTATTTACATTATTTTGTCCCATTGTAAGAAACAACTCTATATCTGACCAAAATTTAGTATATGTTGCAGAATGACATGTTTAATTTCATGTTAATGGTCCTTCAATAATGCGACGTCTGTTAGGATTCATCTGTTGAATATACCCACAATGGTGAAGGGTATCATATAGTCGGCCCCGTCCGACTTTACTACTTTCCTTACTGGTTTTTCCATGTCTTCTGGAGCCCGGATTTGTTGAAAAATATTTTTCCCAGCACTACCACAAAATTAAGCCTTGACGAAATTTCTCTTTTTTCTATCCCCTGAGAACCCGTCTGGACCTTATCGCCTGCTTCCCATATAATGAACTATTAATCCTCTTTAATACAGTCATTTACAGCAAATAAAACTATAACATAAATTTCATATAATTTTTATCACTTGCAACACAGACAGACCCAACCGAATGCAAAACCCAAGAGAGAGAACAGAATAATAATAAAAAATATTTAACCAAAATGATGAAAGGACTCCAATAGGCTGGCCGGACGATAATGAAAAGAACAACATAACTATGACCATAAAAACATTTGGTCAAGAGTACAACAAAAAAATGGTTGTTGACGACAACAACAACGACAAAAAATTGGCTATAACGATATTTGTAAATGTTGCAACAACAACAATAAATCCCCTGATATTTAACGGTCATGTTATGTTAGCTGTTAGCGGTACAAGTGCCACAACATAAACACAATGTGGCGCGCACACACACACAAACACATACACCCTGAACCAAATGGAAAAGAAGGATAGTCACAAAAAAAGGACAAACATAGACTTCGGTACAAAAAAATAAAAAATACCGAGAGTATACAAAAAAGCCAAGCAATGCAGCAATGAATTGTCAACTTCTGCAGTCCAACACTCCCTTCAACCCCTCGGTGGGGGGAGTGGTGCTAGAGTCGATATCAATTGGCAAACATTTGTACAGTACAACTGGACTGGGCATGGCAAATAATAATGCGGAAGTGGCCGTTGGTCATGGACCATAGACCAATGAGTGATATTAAAAGCAACCAGACATGGTCGCAAGGTCTGTGGAAGGAGGAGTGGCAAGAGGGGGCTAACTTTTGTATTTGTATAGAACCATGATTCAATATACATTTAGTGGATGCTATATATTTCCAAAGGCAAACTCCGTGTTTTCTCTTCGTCTATTTTTATGTTTTTTTCAACACCACCACCACACCTCCTCCTACCCTCATGCTATCCTTTCCATTTTTTACAATTCTCCATTTTTTATTTGTGCTTTGCCAATTTTTACAAGCAATTTATAAATTGTTTAGCGATTTGGGATATTTTTTGTTAGCCAGTGGATTTTCGGTGTGTTCTTGTGTTTATATATTTGCCAACAGTTAAATGTAAAAATATCAATGATGGCGCCCAACTGGGAGCCCGGAAATAGTTATTTGAAGAGGAAGGGCGGTTGTACAGCTCCATTTGATGGCAAATAAATCAAGAAAAAGGTAAAATAAAAATGAAGGAGTAGTAGAAATAGTAAATGGTACTTACCTTCAGTATCACTGGTATCCGATACAGGTGGTTCACTGGCAATATATTGACGGCCACTCAGCAAAGTACTTTCGACAATTGGACGTTTATCCTCCAATTGACGGCGAAAAGCTTTATGATCGTCCTGGAAATAAAAAGAAGAAATAGAAATGAAAATAAGGGATAAGTAAAGGATTACAGGATAACTAAAATCAAGAATTTTTGTAAGGAAATTTTTTCAAGACCCAATTAAGACTGGACTTTTAAAGAAATAAGGCGTGAATTTTTTAAAGAATATTTTTTGCAAGGGGCACCACAAGGCCTGGATTTTTAAAAGAATATATTTCGAGGCCTCAAAAGTCGGGGATTTTTTAAGGAAAATTTTTTCGAGACCCAAAAATGCGTTGGCTTTTAAAAGAATATTTTTTGAGGCCCAAAAAATTTCATAAGACATACATAAGGCGTGTATTTGTAAAAGAATACTTTCAAGGGTCACAGAAGGCGTAGACTTTTTAAAAAATTTGTTTTCGAAATTACTAGGAAGTGTGGATTTTTTAAAGAATATTTTTCAAAAGTCAAACCAAGGCGTGGATTTTTTTAAGAATATGTTTTCGAAGCTACAACAAAGTGTGGATTTTTTAAAGAATATTTTTCAAGGGTCACACCAAGGCGTGAAGTTTTTAAAGAATATCTTTCAAGGGTCACACCAAGGCGTGGAGTTTTTAAAGAATATTTTCCAAGGGTCACACCAAGGCGTGGGCTTTTTTAGAGAATATTTTTCAAGGGTGGCGTAGGGGATGATAGATACCAAGCAACGGCTCTGATTGGCTTTAACATGGCGAAGTCCAGGCTTATCGTGGTCCCTTTTTCATCTCAATTTTCGACACTGACCTCCCCGCGGTGCCACCTAGGGTAGCTATTTTCATCACCCGATGAAATAGTGAGCTAATATGTGCAGCGAGTTCACCCATAAGAACTATAAATAAATAGGTTGAGGCGTCGGGTTAGTTGCTCACTCTCTGAAAACCCAACCTTCTAAGAAAAAGCAAAGAAAAAGAAAACGAAACCCACCTAATGTTGACGACCCCGCAAACGTATAAAGGACCACGATCTGCGAATCTGCACTTGGAATATGCGCACGTTGTACAGAACAGGCGCAGTGTTCGCTTTGGCGGATGTACTCAAGAAGTACAAAGTCGATATTATTGCGTTACAGGAAATTCGATAGAACGTAACTGGCGTAAGTAAATCCGAAGATTACGCCCTGTATTATAGCTGCCATGAAACGAGAAATGAATTTGGCTGCGGATTTATGGTTAATAGGAGAATAAAAGACCTCTTCTCCAGATTCACTCCAGTAGATGAACGAATTCGTATAATCCGTATAAAAGCGAAGTTTTTCGACATCAGTCTCATTTGAGTCCATGCTCCGACCGAAGATAAAGATGAACAGACCAAAGATATATTTTACGAGCGCCTAGAAACAGTATATGACGGTTGCCCTTGTCATGACATTAAAATTCTGCTAGGAGATTTTAATGCAAAAATCGGAAGGGAAAATATCTTTGGCCCCTCCGTCGGAAAATTCAGCCTACATGAAGAAACATCTGACAACGGCATGAGGTTGATTGACTTCGAGGCAGCAAAAAACATGGTCGTTAGCAGCACTAGATTCAAGCATCTCGATATACACAAAGCCACCTGGATCTTTCCTGATCAAGCATCGAGAAATTAAAGTGATCATGTTGTGGTAGATGGAAGACATCCACTGTGTTAGACGTCCGATCGATCCGAGGAGCGAATATCGATTCGGACCATTGGCTGCCACAAGGTAGCCAAGGTACGCACCCGTGTTAATGTCGCAGCAAAAGTGCGGTCTAACACAACACGGAAATTCGACGTCGAAAAGCTGCAAACACAGCTGGTAACCGAGGCCTACTCCGCTCAACTTACCCATCTGCTTGAAGAAAGCACTTCTTGTTCCGATAATAGTATAGAAGCACAATGGCAAAGAATTGCCCACTCCCTACAAACTGCAGCAAAAGCAAGACTTGGGTACCAAAAACCACCACCACGAAATCCATGGTACGATCAGGAGTGTCGTAATACTACTGATGTGAAAAACGGAGCGTATAGGGCAACCCTGCAGACAGTAGCAACACGTAACGTGATGGAGAATTATCGGGAGAAAAGGAGAGAGGAGAAACATGTTTCAGAAAAAAAGAAGAAAGAACAAGAAAAACGTGAGCGTGAGCAAATCGAGAAGTACAGGAGCCAGAATGAAGTCCGGAAATTTTACCAACGAGTAAAAAACCAAATCGAAGGCTTTGGTGCAGGCACAGCCTCCTGTAGAGATGAAGAAGGAAACCTGGTGACAGATACAGACAGCGTGTTGAGGATCTGGAAGGAGCAAATTGGTGAAGAAGATACCCCAGAACCAATAAGAGATGATGGTATGGAGTGTATACCACCTAGCCAAGATGAGGTCATAAAAGCAATTAATCGGCTCTAGAACAATAAAGCAGCAGGAGCCGATGGCTTACCAGGCGAACTATTCAAGACTGGTGTTCAGATGCTGGTCAGGATCATGCACCAGCTGATTAGTACAATTTGGCTAGAGGAATGCATGCCCAGTGATTGGAACCTCAGCATCCTGTGTCTCGTGCACAAAAAAAGAGACAAGATGATATGTGCCAACTATAGAGGAATAAGTCCCCTTCCCATCGCAGTGCTATCCAGTGTGCTGTGTGAACGACTGAAGCCAATGGTCAATGAATCATTGGACCATACCAATGCGGCTTCAGACCTGGCAAATCCACCATTGACCAGATTTTCACTCTGTTCCAAATCCAAATCCGCATTCCGTTCAGAGGTGTTTAAAGCCATGTCTACGTTCAGCATTCCTGCAAAATTAATACGGCTATGCAGAATAACTTTAAGTGGGACAAGGTCAAGGTTAAGTAGGAAAGGAACTATCAGAGCCCTTCAATACCGAACGAGGATTCAGACAAGGTGACAGTGGCACAAGGTCAGCAGTTAAAGTAGGAAAGGACCTATCGGAACCCTTCAATACCGAACGAGGATTCAGACAAGGTGACAGTTTGTCGTGTGACAAATGTGACGCATGTCGTGTGACGCAAATGTGAACAGAAATGGCACTCTGTACACCAAACAATACATGTTACTCGTCTACGCCGATGACATCGATATAATGGGTCGAATATTGCGAGCGGTAACAGCCACCTTTGAAAAAATTGAAAAGGAGTCTGCCAAAGTGGGCCTGGCAGTAAACGGCGAGAAGACCAAACTGATGGTATCAACGCACAAGACATCCAGTAGACTCTGACCAACTGTGGAACTTGAGAACTACAACTTCGAGGTAGTTAAAGACTTTAGATACCTTGGTACCGCCATAAATAAAACGAATGATATCAGTTTTGAAATTCGGAGATTCCTTAAGGACTAAGGATATTTTTTCAAAGGCAAAAACATGGCGTGTTTTTTTAGGAATTTATTTTTTCTTATTATTCCATATCCCTTTTCCGATCAACTTCTGTAATATTAAAGTTATGTTAGTCCATATCCATTTAATTGCCAAAATCCCCTTAAAAAAGGCCCACATTTTTGTAACAATGTAACGCCAAAAAAGTGAAGGATTTATATTTTGAACTATGCCATTAAATTGGCCTACTTTCTGTTGGCCATTGTTTTTATTTTCTCCTTTGGCCATCATTTTTCGGTACTTTGATTTCTGTGTGTGTGTGTGCGAGTGTGTGTATCGTTACTCAAATCGAGTTGAAAACTTTCATCTCTTAAGTGGTTTTCTTTTCCAGGTTTTCCTTTTTTCTTCGCCTGTTTTTTTTCAGCCAACATTTTTACGCTACAGGCGTAACGCGTAAATTGTTTGTCGCTTTGTCCAGTTATTGTTGTTGTTGCTGTTATCGAATTTATTGCCAAGTGTGTGTGTGTGTGTGCCACACACATTTTGCCATTATTGTTGTTGTTGATTGTTGTTTTCGCCCTTGTTATTTGTTAGTGGCGCTTGTGTGATATGTCACTTTAACGTAACGTTCGGTCGGTTGTTTATTAAATCTTTTTGGCAAATTTTATGTGTGCGTGTCCTGCATGCCAGGCAGCTAGCCGGCCAACCAGCCAACCATTTGGACCGGCCGGTCTCCATTCCATTCTTATCGTTAGTTTTCTGACTGACTATTACACAGATTGTTGCGTGTGTCTACGCACACACACACTAGGATTTAATGTGTAGAGGTGTATGTGCGTGTACGTGTGTGCGTGGCGTGTGTACTTTATGTCCCTGTTATATAGCCAAAAACGAAAAATCCTTGTTTGCGTGTTGCTGCTGTTGTTGTTGCTGTGTTCTCTGTCGTGTTAGGCATCATTAAACAATTACCCCCAATGAATAGACCCAGCTACAGCTATAGCTGACTGAGAGTGTCTGTGATTATAATGAACTTACACCGTTCCGTTCGTTCGTTAAGTGGCACTTGTTAGCTGTACATTATAATTTGGCCAATAAAAGTGACAACTAAATGTTATTTAAAGCTACACGCTCGATAGATGGCAGAGAATATTTATTAACTCGATTACCAAAGCGATGCGATGAGGAATCAATGTGAATGAACACGAAGGGTATTGGGTGGGAAAATGAAAAAAATAATCGGATTAGGTTGGAATAAATTTAATTTGTGTCGTGCAGTGGTTAATAAAAGAGGACATTTAATGTAATTATGTCCGATGCCCTAAAAAATATGTTTAAGAAATCCACGCCTTTTGCAGTCCTTGAAAAAATATGTTTAAGAAATCCACGCCTTTTAGGAGTCCTTGAATAAAAAATGTTTAAGAAATCCACGCTTTTTTGGAGTCCTTGAAAAGAAATATTTAAGAAATCCACGCCTTTTATCAGTCCTTGAAAAAAAATGTTTAAGAAATCCACGCATTTTAGGAGACCTTGAAAAAAAACAATAAAAAATTTTAAGTAAATTATTTTTCTTCATTTTTAAATCTTCAAATATATAAATCCACGCATTTTTTTTGGAGTCCTTGTTATAAAGAAATATTAGGAAAAAAAATCCACGCCTTTTATCAGTCCTTGAAAAAAAATGTTTAAGAAATCCACGCATTTTA